CTCTGTCAATATTGAATTACTAAGAACATTAAAAGCCAGAATGAAAAGCCACACACACAATGAATACAGGACAGAAAAACAAATAAAAATAGAAAAGCCACTACTGCCATATATTGTAGTCACACCCGATCTGACTACAAATTTAAAAATGCTGGCAAGAAGGGATTGTCTTAGCACGGAACCAAACTGCTAGACGTGTCTCTCTAGTGTGGACATTCCGTAAGTTGAGGACCCACAACTAAGAACCTCTTCATTGAAGCTTGTCTTTAGTCCACTTAGCAGAGGCACCTAAGTTCTCCCAAAGATGACCAAAGGAGCCTTGCTATTGGCTTGTATTAGACAGAACAGTTGATCGTTAGAAGGAATTTGCACTTGCTTCCCTTGAAAGAGAAAACTTGAAAAGTTCTGCAGGGGACATTAAGATCTCTTGCACCAGATACACTCTGACATCCTAAACCAGGGGTAGGCAACCTTGGCTCTTTTATGACCTGTGGACTTCAACTCCCAGAATTCCTGAGTCAGGCACGCTGAGGGGAAAGGGACAGGTTTCCAAGCTGAGCCATGCTGGCTCAGGAATTCTGGGAGATGAAGTCCACGAGTCATAAAAGAGCCAAGGTTGCCTACCCCTGTCTTAAACCAAGGCTATCAAGCAGATGATGGCCACAAAGCACCAGAGTCTTTTGGAAAATGCAGATTAAAGTGATCCAGCTCAATCTGGCTTCAGACTTGTTTTTAGACTGAAACTATCCTGTTTGGCTTAACGTATTACTTGCTGCCAGAAAAGATACAAGAGGCATAAAGCTTTGGATTCTCTAGACTAGAACATCTCAGCTGCTTTCCACATTATTGCGTGCGATATTGTCTCTTACAGTAGGGCTGGGAGCAGGAAAAACTTTATTGTCATGATTCTGTTCCTGTTTCTCAGGCAGAGGTCAGAAGTTGAGTTTGCTGTTCAATTCTATGAGATTTATGTTATCCTCCCCCCCCCCTTATGCTTTCTCACACCTACTTTATGTTTCAGAGACAGTCTAATGAACTGAAAACTTTGCTGTTTCTGCTCCTTTTTGATCACCCTGTAAATCCTTAATTCGGGATAGCACAGGAAATGCTGATATCAGTACCAAGTGGATACGGGTGAATAAATTGTGGTTCACTCCTCTCAAGATGACTGAAAAGACTCATGACTTGAGTTTCCCCTGAACCAGCCTGAACTTCATATGTGAAGAGGGAGGTTTGTGGGCAGGTCCTGGACCCTTAGATGGCTGCTACAATCAGAAATATTTTTAAATGACACATTTTTCTACAAAGCCATGACAAATGTCTTACAAGCCTGGTGATACCTGTGACTTCATAACCAATGAGAATAAATTATTATAACATGTTTTAATTGGGGTCGCATCTGGAGACTGTCCAAAACCTTCTATTAATTCGACATGAAACAGAATCATGAATTACAAGGGGTATAATTTGCATTAAGATAGCATGTTTTGGTTTCCAATTTGTTTCCGAGTGCAATCCAACATTCCTTAAAACCTAAATCCCATTTTTATTAGAAAAAGACTTTACCAATGTGAATCTTATAACAAGGAGGGTTCTTTTTCTGAAGAAAATGTCCTTGTGAAAAATGTAGTGGAAGGTAACTGTTTTAATCAAACAGACAAAAATAAAACATGTGTTAAATATGTTAATTTATAGGTCGCATTTCTGTAGAACATTCTAACTGCAATATCTGCTTTTATATTTTAAACTGAAGTGTTAATTTTAATATGGGGCTAATTGCTTTCAGGCTTTGCAGAATCCATACTTCATAAGGCAGTCATTTTAAAAACGTAAGTAAAATTCTCAGTACTAATGGCCTATTAGAAACATAATTTCAGAAGCACCTTTTATTAGGTTCTGCAAATAATCTGAGTTAATCCTAGTAGAGAACTATATACTACCACTGCTAAATAAAATATTTTATCATCCTGATAAAATAAAAGCTTAGCAGATATTTTCTTCCAAGTGTGGGGGACTTGGAGATTTTAAAGTAGAATTACATAAGGATGAAGCTATTTTTGGCTCTCCCTTGATTCTCTGAATTATAAGAATGTTTTTGCCGATTAAGACACTCAGGTCCAACTGCCTAAGGCTTGATCCAACGTTATAAGTGAACATTTTATTTAGTGATAGAAGAATTATAAAAGCCAAGTACAAATCCACTTAAAGGTTCATTTTTTCTGCATATATTCCCTGCTCTCTATTTGGATGCTTGTTCCAGGAATAAGATACCCCAAATTATTAAATAAGGAAAGCAAATATGTTTTCATCACCCTATTTCTCTATAATTCTCATAAATCTTCACCTTAATAAATTCTATTTTGTGCACTAAGATCCCCATTAATACATGCTGCAACCTTGTGTAAGACTTGGATAGTTAAAATTTTTAAATCTAGTGAGAGATGTTTTCCACTTATAAAAATGAACATTTTGCTTATATTTTCACGCTAATGGTATTTATTGGTGATAAACTAATATAAATTATTTTAAAGCATGTGGCCTTTTATTTCTATATTCAACTTTATGACTACAGAGCTGAAAGAGGGGCGATTAAATAACCAACAAAAATGTTAAAGAGCATTCTCCACACAAGTATTAAGCCTCTTATGGGGCTCATGCTATCAGTTTCTATCTTTAATTCACTGTAAAAAGATGGGATGAAGATTTAGATCCTTAAAGCCAGAGCAAGAATCTCTAATTACCAATGCATGTCTCTGAAACATCCAGTTAAAGCTCCCAGCTAACACGGCTATGATTTCTCAATTGTTATACATGGAATTAGATTTCGTTTACTACCCAACATTTAATCTGGGGCTAGAATTGTAATTTTGACTGCCGACTATTGCTATTGCCGCCTGGATCAATATGTCCTTCTCACGGAAGCTCTCATAATTAAATGTCCTATGAACAAGAACATAAGAGAGAAGAATACAGGTAGTCCTTGACTTACAACCACAATGAGCCCTAAATTTCCATTGTTAAGCAAGGCAGTTGTTAAGTGTGTTTTGCCCCATTTTGCACCCTTTTTGCCACCGTTGTTAAGCAAATCACTGTGGCTGTTAAGTAAATCATGCAGTCATTAAGCGGATCTAGTTGCCCCACACTTGTTCAAAGGTTAAAAATGGAGATCACGTGACCTTGGGACGGTGCAACCATTGTAAATACAAGCCAGTTGTAAAGTGCCCAGGTTTTTTTTATTTTTTGTATAGATTTTATTAGTTTTTATGGAGTTAGGAATAAAGTGGGGTCAGGGTTGGGATTTAGGTTAAGGTTAGGATTAAGATTAGGGTTGGGGTTTTTCCAAGTAAAATTCTCAATATTTAGCAAACAGCATAATGTCTGGGTTTGTGTATTTAACAAACAATAATAGAAAATAGTTAATTGTCATAAACAATATGTTAATTAACCACTCACTCTTGCTAATATATATTCAGAATTACATATCACATTCCTTTCTCTCTAATTCTGGCCATTGATAGAAATTATCCCATGTTCTAAAGTGCACTGAGTCTTCTTTCTCTTTTATCTTTAAACTCAATCTATCCATTTCTGCACACTCTAGAATTTTCTTAATTAGTACTTCTTCAGCTGGTAAGTTTTCATTTTTCCAGTTTTGGGCAAATACAATTCTTGCTGCCGTTAGTACGTGTAGTATTAAACAAAGCGCCCAAATTTTGATCATGTGACCGTGGGAATGCTGTGGGGCTGCAATGCTACAAGCATTGAGAAAAATGGTGGTAAGTCAATTCTTTTCAGTGCTGTTGTAACTTTGAATGAACACTAAATGAATGGTTGTAAGTCAAGGATGCTGGTACTTAATTCCACCCCCGAAACAGCCATTACAGATGGCTGTTACGGGACTATACAGATTTATCTTTTCTCCCCCTTCCCTTTTTTCTTTTATATAATGCTCCTTTGGATTGCAAGCCTAGTAACAAGGGATGATGATATAACTTAGTGGGGAGGTGGGGGAACAGACAAAAAGAGTTTCAATAAAAAATACACAGTAAACAACTTAAGCTGTTATTTGACAATAACTGCCTCGTAAGAAAGTGATATTTTAATGCCAAAAGAGTTCACAGAGATTCTTTATAAGTGCCCATCTCTGCTCCCTCTCTCACATATAATAAAGACAAAGGAATGTGCGAAACGAAACTCCTACATTCAATTATCTTTCCTCTGCTTTTATTGTGTTACCGGTTTGATCTTTCAAACATTTATTCCAAAGCGCAGTATTTCTTTGTATCATTAACTTTATCCATGCAAACAGATTTTTTTTATAGGCTAGAAGAGGCGTTTTAAACATTTCATCTACAGTACCCATGTAAAAACGACTCCCTTCATGATGGTAGAAATTCTTATAGCACAGCCCCACATAAAAGCAGAAGGAACCAAAGCACCTTTCTCTACATAAAAGTTTGTTTTGGTGGACGTTAGATCAAGCCTAAGATAAATGATACCAAGTCACTATATATTTTTTTCTTCTACTGTATTTATCTCATGATGCATCATTTTACTGAACACATGAATTATGTACTGTTTCCACAGGTGTTTTTTTTAATGGCCCGGTAAAATAAGGCAAATAGATTTTTATTTCCTAAGCATGATAAATAAATAGTTTTAGAAATATAAGATGCACTAAAATTACTGTCCTTCCATTTATGGGTATGTTTTAAATTCCAAAAAAGGTTAGAAGTATATGGAACTTCTGTTCTAGGGCAGTAATGGTCATATTGTTTCACAAATGTTCTTTGAATACGATATATATATTTTATATAAATAAAATAATGAAAACTGCGGTCTTATCAAAAGTTCACGCCATGAAGAAATGTTATTAAGTATCTTGAGAGGTGATGAACTGGATAGGTCTGCAAACTAAATTTCTCAATTTCAGTAATAAGCTTCAAAAAATTATACAGTACAAAGTTCACTAATTCATGCCAAAACATAAAACCACTTACCTGGGTAATAATCACTTGTAACAATGCTCCTTATAGTCTGTTTCAACCCACTGTCTTGTCAATCTGAAAGGCGAAAAGACAAAATCTAAAATAAGCTTTTAACATTTTTTCTTTAAAAAATAATCCTAGCTTCTAGTGCAGGAAGCTATAGTATTTTGTATAGCTGAGCTACCCTGTTTTCCTTTTTGAACTAATACACAGAAAAAATAGAATTATTTTTAATAGATTTGTGAGGTCTTAGTTGACTATAACACCAAAGCACAGCATCTAATGATTTAACTGGATGATGAACGTTAACTAAAACAGATATTTCATAAGCTATACTTATGGGGTAATTTTATTAGTATTTGCACTTTGTCCCAAATAATAATAATAATAATAATAATAATAATAATAATAATAATAATAATAAGTTGGAAGGGACCATGGAGGTCATCTAATCCACCCCCTGCTCAGGCAGGAGACCCTATACCATTTTGGACTAATAGCTGTCTCACTGTATTATTTTTGTTTGGGGCTCAATAATAATAATAATAATAATAATAATAAACATTTTAAAACATGAATTTTCAGTAAAATACTTGGGAATGTTTTCAATGATACATAAACACTTGCATTCCAACTATTTTAGCTTTAGCTAAAATTGTTGTGGGAAATACTAGACAATTGTATATAGCAGTAAATGCTACTGAAGCAAAATGTATCAAATGAAAAAACAAGAGTAGAAATATGTACATTTTGTTATGAAGCAGATGTGAATAGTGCTCTGGGCAGAACTGTTTTGTGTCAAACTTTTGTTTCAATATACAAAAAAATGCACTATATCTAAACTTAACCTCAATGAATAAGGGTTCATTTGAGGATATTATTGGTTAGCTTCCTATCCGTTATTTAGGGTTTTTTTTTTTTAAAATCCCAGTCCAAATATACAGGCTGCAAACAGCATTGTGTATTTTAGGTTCTTGTATATTTCTCAATACAGGATATACACAAATAAATAATATCAAAAGGATACTTTAATTATTACAGATCTTGTTCACGTGTATATACTGTAGTCCTCGACTTACAACAGTTCATTTAGTGACCATTCAAAGTTACGACAGCACTGAAAAAAGTGACTTATGACCGTTTTTCACACTTATGACTGTTGCACCCGTGGTCATTTGATCAAAATTCAGATGCTTGGCAACCAACTCATATTTATGATGGTCGCAGTGTCCCGGGGTCACGTGATCCCCTTTTGGGATTTCTGACAAGCAAAGTCAATGGGGAAGCAAGATTCATTTTAACAACTGTGTTACTAACTTAACAATTGCAGTGATTATAACTTAACAATTGTGGCAAGAAAGGCTGTACAATGAAATCTTCAAACAGGCTAGAAAACCATCTGTTCAGATGGTCTAATGCAGTGTTTCTTAAATGTTTTTTTTTTCAGAACCCCTTCCCACTTTTAAAAATTATGGAGGACCCCAAAGAGCTTTCCATTTGTATGGATTATATTCACTGATGTTTACTCTATTAAAAATATCAGATACTTTCACTGCTGTTACCACTTCTCACAGTTGTTGGTGGGATTTTAAAATTGTATCATTTTTCAACATAGGCTGGTGAGCAATTTTGATTTTGGGGACCCCTGAAATGCAATTTCAGGCTAGTGCAACTAGGAAATTCAGTTTTGGACCTTCAAAACTGCAAGAGTGTTTTTTGCATTTAGAAGATTCAAAGTCACCAAAATTCAAAATCGCCTCTGATAAAATCAAAGAATGTTACATACATCCTGATTGCAAACAGGAATACCATCAGCAATACTCCTACATCCACTGAATTTCCTGCAAACATACTGGACTGGCAGCAGTGATTATAATTGTTCTTTCAGTCACACATAAAAAAAAACCATAGGAGGGAACTTACTTGATACAACATTGCACGACAAGATTTGGGGTTCAAATATTTTGCACTCTTTTGCTGTGTAGGAACATTCAATTTATGTGCCCGACTGCAATTTAAATGCTATAGCTCAGCCATGAGTTTACCAACAAATCCGTTGTTTTTATAAGGAGGCTCCCAGCATCACATTTTAAAGGCCCTAGCAACAATAACGGATTCTGAGAATAGCAAAAAGGCAAACCACCCTACTACATGACCACAATACTCCTATATCAACAGTAAAGGATTCAGTCAAGAAGTAAGCTATTGAACAAGAACTGGATGTTCAATATTCAAATAAAGCAAATATGTTTATTTTATTTATAAAATTTGTTTGCTGCCCATCCCAGCAGGAGTACGTACCCTAACATATCAAATATATCATACATCTTTAAAATCTGTTCGAGAAACTTTCAGCGAGACTTGAATACATGCAAGATAAAAGAAGTCAACAGGTTGCACAGATTAATCTGGTGACGTCAGGCCAATCGCTCATTCAAGATTATTATATTAGGGGTAAAATGGACATATTCTATTATACCAATAGTTCTCAACCTTTTTAATGCCGCGACCCCCAACCGGTCGTAAGTCGAGGACTACTCAACCGGTCGTAAGTCGAGGACTACTCAACTGGTGCAGCACCGTTTGCAGAATGGGACTTTTCAGGGGCTCAGCAGGGCAGAGACAGCCTGGACAATTCCTATTGGCTTTTGAAAGCCAATAGAATTAGACTCTATGCAAGAGAGTCTATTCTATTGGCTTTCAAAAGCCAATAGAATAAAAGGGAGTAGCACAGCTAAGGAAAAGGGGGAAAAAATGGCAGACTGCGTTGTTTGGCGACCCCCGTGAAATGGTCGTTCGACCCCAAATGGGGTCCCGACCCACAGGTTGAGAACCACTGTATTATACTATGTAGTATAGTAATTTCCTCTGGTATTGCTTATGTCTAAGCACAGTCTGAAACTATTTCCCCCCACAATGATGACCCTCTGCTCTGGTTGAGAGAAAGTGATAGTCCAAATCCAGTTATTGTTATTATTTAACCGCCACCATCATCACAGAAGGAAACAACTGTCCATTGTGGTTGCCAGTTCGTCAAGTCAAATGGGTTTTTAACCTTTCAATAATAGATCTTCACTGCCCTCATACTGACAAGAATATTGTGTGTCATGTTAGCATCCAACTTTGGTCATCAAGATTTAAAAAATGGCTTTTAATCGTTGGCATACAAAAATCCCAAGACACTGGTATTTTTCATGATTTTATTACTATTTCCCTTCATGGGAATTGGCATCCCTTTTTAAAGTCTGCCATAAATTGAATAATGAAAGTCATTGCAAATATGGAGATACACTATTTCACGAATTTCTTCCAATTTTGCCTGAAATGAAGCCAGGATTATGTTGCAAGATCATCTCAAAATATCCTTTCTTAAAAAAAGAAAGCAAGTTCTAATACTTTTAAAAGCCAGGAATAATTCAGTCACACAAAGCTGCAAGTTATAGTTACTAAACACAAACTGAATTTCTTAAACTGTAATAAAGTTAAGCATTTTATTTAGTAATCAATCTATGGGTAGAGCAAATAGGATCAAATAAATGTAAATAATAAATATTATTTATTTAATTAAAATATGATCAAATAAAGGTAAATAAAGATCAAATGCATAATAAAAATATACCTTTACTACAGATTATATTTTTAACAATACAACCATACTTGTTGTTATCTAATAAGAAATAAACACAAAAGCTACACAACAACTTTTTTCTGATTCTCTTCATAAAAGCCTTCCTCAGTGGCCTTAATTTAAAGACTGTGTAATAAGTCATGGGTTAACCAGGTTTGATTAAGTCACAATTGGCCAAGTTTACACAATCTATATTTCTTTGGTTGGAAATATTGGACTCAAATGTGGTCGCACATCAAGGACTACCTGTAGAAAGTGACAATGTTTGTTTGCATCACGGTATCCTGACATCCATTTTACGACCTGCCTAACCAAACCGATCCCTAGGATGTCCAGTGAATCTTTCTGACTTGACATGACTACTTTATTTGCCAAGTGTGATTAGACACACATGGAATTTGGTAAAGAAGCACTCAGTGTAGATGCAGATGCAGATGCAAAGCCACATTGTTATTATTATTAATAATGAGGATAATAATGATGAGGATGATAATAACAACAACAACAATACCAATAAGACCTACAAATAGAAATAGAAAGACTGTGGCAAAAGCAAGCAAGGGAAGTACCAATAGTACGTAATAGGCTCCTTGGGTGCAATCCCAAAACAACTGGAGCACCACTTGAACACCATTGGCATTGACAAATTCGCTATTAGTCAATTGCAAAAGATGGCCTTACTAGGAACTGCTTCCATCCTGCAACGATATCTGTAATACCATCAAACATCCACATCTGCCTATCCCAGTGGTTCTCAACCTTTTTAATGCCGCGACCCCCAACCGGTCGTAAGTCGAGGACTACTCAACCGGTCGTAAGTCGAGGACTACTCAACTGGTGCAGCACCGTTTGCAGAATGGGACTTTTGACAGGCTCAGCAGGGCAGAGACAGCCTGGACAATTCCCATTGGCTTTTGAAAGCCAATAGAATTAGACTCTATTCAAGAGAGTCTATTCTATTGGCTTTCAAAAGCCAACAGAATAAAAAGTAGCACAGCTAAGGAAAAGGGGGGGAAAAAGGCGGACTGCGTTGTTTGGCGACCCCCGTGAAATGGTCATTCGACCCCAAATGGGGTCCCGACCCACAGGTTGAGAACCACTGGCCTATCCCAGGTCCTGGGTAAGGACTCCATAGGTAGACAAAATGCCAAATCCAGTCTGAACATCTGGCTGATTGTGCGATGATCCAAAATAATAATAATAAAAGGGGGGAAGTAAAGGACTTGATTTTCTCCTGATCTCACCACTTTATTCAACATTTCTTCTACGGGGCTTGTACCGGTTGATTTTACTATGACATTTTTGTTTTTAAATGGTCAGGTCCTTTAAGCTATGGTTAAATGGCAAGCAGCAGAGGCATTGAGGCTACTATCCGAATGACCACTACTGATGGCACCAAGGAGGCAAAGAGTGGCACGCCTAATAAAGAGGTTTTGAAGTGGGGTGGCCCAGAAATGGCAATCATTTAAATATTAATTACATAATTTCATTAATTAAATGCCCACTGATCCCGCCCCTATCTTCCTCCTCCGCCTATCACTGCTCAAGAGCCCGCAGAGGGCAGGCAACGTGCAGCCAGCCCCTCCCACCCTGATGTCAGGGGGCGGGGCTTGGAATGCAGCCGCCGGGGGCGGGGCCTCGCGTGCTCAGCCTCAAACTCCGCCCCCATTCTGAGGCGACCAAAAAAAAAAAAAAAATACCCCAAACCGGGGACAAAACCCCGCAGCCGTTCGCCTGAGCCGCCCAAGGGGGCGGGCTGCAGGGAGGGAAGTTCTTCTCCCTTCCTTCCCCTTGACTTTTGCCTCAACCGCTCTGAGTCGCCCGCGAAGGAGAGCCAACCCTACGCCCGTCGCTACCGTGTCCCGGAGGCAAAGCCCCGCCGGCCTCAAATCCGCCCTCACTCACCCTCTCCGGCCGCCGCCGCCGCGGACATGTCCTCTCGCGAGTTTTGGTGGCGGGATTTCGGCCCTAGCGCGTGCGGGAGGAGGAGGAGAGGGTGAAAGAATACTGTACTAGCCGCACGTCGCGGGGGGGAGGGGGGAGCGGTCAGAGGCGCGCGCCCGGCGGTTTAGAACCGGAGGCGGGACGAAGGCGCGGTGGAGGATGGGCCTGCGCGCCTCGCCCTGTGATTGGCGCAAAGAGGCGTCGGGGAGGGAAGGGACTTAGGCTTCCCTCTCGTGTCAAGGGGCTCCGCCTCCTCCATCCGGGTATTTTCCCCCTCAGATGCCTCTCGAGCCAGGTTGTGAGAGTAGCTCTGTCTGAGGTGATGGAGAGGGCGTCTTGCCTTTGTGGTTAATAAAAAGCAAAATAAATGAACAAAGTCCTTCGTCAAGGGTCGTTTTTTTCGTTTCTCCGTCTTGTAAAAAAAAAAAAATTGAAATTAGAGAATGACGAGTTGGAAGGGACCTTGGAGGTCTTCTAGTCCAACCCCCTGCTTAAGCAGGAAAGCCTGGAGGTGTCCCTTGTATCCTTCAGAAATATTTATGGATTAAGGGCAGTATGTTTTAATTTTGAGGAAAAGCAGCCTGGCAACACTAAAGTAGAATGAAATAGAATAAAGTAGAATAGTGAAGAATAAAGTAGAATAATAATAATGATGACGAAAAATCATTATTCAAGTAAAATGATGTGTCTGCACAATTCCTGGAAGAAAGCTGTTAGCAAAAGCTGTGTTAACAATACGTGACTGACCTAATGCACACTGAAAAACATTGTATAAAGTAAAACTCTCTTCGTTGTATTCCCATGAGAAATGAACCTAATGTGTGAGAAACTAACCGAATGATATACAATGTAGATTCCATGTGTGCTTCTTTGTTCCTGAGAAAGGGACAGCTATAAAACTGTAGTTTGGACCCGTCCCCTTTGTTCAGAATTGCTGGTTGTTAATCGCTTCTGAACCGTGCGCAAATAAACCTCTCTGTTATACCCTTTGGAATTCGTAAAAGTCTTTCGTTTTCCACAAGAAGACTGTGGTGGACAACAGGATTTGGAGAAAAAAGTTTAGGACTAAGGAATATTAATATCTAGAAAGAGTTCTTGACTGCCTCTTCATACTGAATGAAAGTAAACAGCATTAGAGCCAACAAAAGCTTTTGGGAGCTTTTTCTCTTCCATTTTCTCAGTGCTCTTCACAATTCCCACGTAACCCATACCGTGCAATACTGTACAAAGTTGGACTTCATCGATATTGACATCACTATCCAAGCTTGTCACCCCTGAAAGGCAGACTAAACTGATCAAACTGATTATTGCATATTAATTACATTACACTGCCTGGGTTTATGCCAAGCCTTAAACCAGTGTTTTTGAAACTTGGTCACTTCCAAGATGCGTAGATTTCAACTTTCAGAATCCCCAAGCCTCCTAGACCTGCTTATGTCATGGAATCTAGATAAATGTTGTATCCAGATGCTGCCTAGCTTCTTTCTCAAGTTCAGATAAATTTTAGAAGGAATTTATGGAATATATACGGATACGTGTATATTTGCAACCTGCAAATCTGGAGAATGACATAATGGCCAACGGATTGGAAGTGGTCAGTCTTCACACTAGTATCAAAAAAAGAGGGTGTAAGCTGTCATTCATTATCTTTAATTTCACAAGCTAGCAAAATAATTCTAAGGTCTTCCCATAAAGATCTGAACTTTGCATGGAAAAAAGATGTGCCAGAAGTTCAGACAGGAACACAAGACATTATTGCTGATAGACATTGGATAATTGAGAAACCCATGAAAAAGTAGTAAATATTTGCTTCATCGATTATAGAAAGGTCTCCAACTGTGTTATCAAACTGTAGAATGTGGTCCCAAAGGTGCTTTTTCATGAGGCAACTCAACTTTCTTGTTTTTCTTTGAAGACATTTCACTTCTCATTCAAGAAGCTTCTTCCGCTCTGACTAGATGGTGGGGAATGGATGAGAAGCGAAGCGTCTTCAAAGAAAAACAAAAAGTCCAGTTGCCTCATGAAAAAGCATTTTGGGGATAATTATGACCTGGATGACTGAGAATCTCCATAGACATGTAGAATGTGGATTGAAAAAAATGGGAATCCCAGGACATCTCATGTCTTTAGGTAAAATTTATACAAAGGACATAAAGCCACAGTCTAGACAATAGATGGTGAAGCAGACTGGCTCCAAATCAACAAAGGAGTGAGACAATGCTCTACATTTTTTATTTATTCACTGACTTAATACTGGAAGAAGAGATGGGTGTGTTAAACAAGGAAGACAATGAGTAACTCGGCTATGCTGATGACACCGCCCTAAGAGCTGAAAATGCAAATGATCTTCAGGCTCTAAGGAATAAAAGTCAAGCAGTGCAGTGAAAAAATGGGACTAAGGTGAAATGTAAAAACCAAACTAATAATTAGACCAACAAAGGCAACTGGCCTTTGAATGGACAATGAAAACACCGAAGTGATGGATATCTTCTGCCTTTTAGGATCGTCATCATAAAGGAACCAACAATGAAGAAATATGCTTCAAACTAACACTTGGGAAAAGATATTCAGATGCAGTGATATATTTATAACTACAAAGAATAGAACTGTGCAAGCAATGCTTTTCTCGGTGACATTTTAATGATATGAAAACTGCCCCCAATGTTGAGCCATTTATATAAAATATATCAGGAAGAAGTCGTAGGAAGGGTGTTCCATAATTCCTGTAGTTGTATGCTTTGTAAACAATGTTTTGTGGCAGGTCTCCACTTGTAAATCTCTGCATGTACTTTATGGAAAATTCAGTTAGATTTATCCTGAATAAGCTTCATAAACTATGTGCAGAGATTTGAAAGAACGCCCAAAGGAACAAGGCTAAACTAGTTAACCTTTCTGTAAACAAAGTCTTACAATTGATTCTCCTTTAAGTCCCTTACAATTGTGTATTTCCAAAAGTAAGCAAACAGATTTTATTGCATAATAAACCTGGCTTCTCAGAAAGATTCTAGTTTTCAAAAACAAAATCAAGATGAAAGGCTTGTTAGATCTTTCTAAAGAAATCATAAATTTGGAATAGGAAAATGTATGAGGGATTAATTGGACAATATCTATTGTTTGCAGCAATAATTTTACTAATTAAATTTGGTATTTTCCTACCCCCCATTTTTTTAGATGGCCTGGGATCCTGGGGTTAAAGTATCATTTAAACAACCAGATTTCCTTTTTTTTTTTCTGAAAGGAAAATATGTTTGGCTAATTAGCAGAGATCAGCAGAGATCAGAGGAATAATTTACTCTTATGAACAGAAAGTCCAATAAGTTAGACCCCTTAGTGTTATCCTCAATTGTACTTACTGCTGACATTCCTTTCTCTTTCTCCCTTCTCTCTCAGAAACTACTGTTCCCTTTTATAGGACACAGCTAAGCAGTCATTGGAAAAAAAGACAACATAAAATAGAAATTGAAGGAAGATGCTTGTATCAGACTGAGTACAAAACTTTAATCTGTAAAAGTCCAGAGGATCAAAGAATTTGAAGAGGCAAAGTGTAGGCATTATGAAATAAGCACATCTGACCCAGGAAGAAAATAAGTCAGTATTTGAAATCAACTGCCTCCTTCCAGGGGATTTCTCCAGTAACTTCCTAAGAAATTTTGCTCCCAGCCTCAGGCTTTTTACTCTGCAAGTTTGAACTACCTGCCTGATAACATCATCTTTTAGGAGCGTAAAAAGGATGTTGTAATAGGCCATAAGATTATGTTTGGAGTGGTTGTAACCAGAGATTACAACCACTTAACCCTTTGGGAACAAAACAAGGGCAAGGGCCACACCAGGTGTTAGAAAGGGAGGCGACACTTAGAGCCTTTTATAAAAAGTGAGATTTGAGCAGAACTTTGAGAAAGAAGCTGACAGTTTATAATTGAGCTACCAATGCCACATTTTGAAAGCTCTTTTTGTGGATGGAGAATGACCAAATCTCTGTTGGTAAAAACAGGTAAGTTTAACTAACTGCCCCCAATCTGGTGGGTTGTTGTTTTTTTTTACTTATAAAATGTTTAGGGCACTTCAGTTAGATGCTCTAGTTGAGTGGTGGCGAACCTATGGCACGCGTGCCAGAGGCGGCACTCAGAGCCCTCTCTGTGGGCACGTGTGCCGTTGCCCCTGCAGAGTTCTCCAGAGTAGCCAGCACGTGGCGTTTGGAAGTGACGGGGCAGGAAGTGAGTGAGCAAGTGGCGTTGGCCCCCCGGGGATGCCCCAGAGATGGCAAGGGACTGGCCCCCACTGCTCTGGCCCCGGCCATGCTCACCCAGTCTGCAGTAACCACTGCAGCCACACCCACCCAGTTGGCCATGCCCCCCGTCCCCGAGGGCACACAATGCTGATGCAGCCCTGGCACTTGGCGATAAATAAGTGGATTTTGAGTTGCAGTTTGGGCACTCAGTCTCTAAAAGGTTCGCCATCACTGCTCTAGTTGACTCAAGAATTAATACAATAAATCGTAATTGCTCAGTAGCCTGAAACGCAAGATAGGCAGCCAATAAATTTGATTGATAAATGGATAAATAAATAAATGACTAGCAATCAGTTATAACTGAATGAGCAGATAACTGACAACTCCTTCTTCACTTTGCAGAGCAAAGCTGTTTTGGAGGGTGTGGCCCTTGTAGAGAAAGCTCTTGATCTCTTTCTAATGATGTCTTTCGGAGGAGGGATCAGGGAGATCGTTTGTGATCCAATGTCAGCCACAGAAACTCTCACAGTGACACTGACTGCCAGTGCAAACAACCCTGTATGTTGTTGCAAATTGTACTAGGTACACCTTGAGCTCCTGAATGAAAGATGGGGTATAAAACAACTAAAACATCCCAGGCAGGAAGATCTGAAAGCAATTTATTGACATAGCTCTAGAAAAGTGGAAATATGTCATTGGTTACTGAAGAAAAAAACAGCGTTAGGATATATTCCAATTTCCTTTCTTCTCCTGCCAAACAGAACTTTCTTAACCCCCATGAAGGTTAGGACCCTTTTGTTCCAGAGTACTAATTGGGGAAAAATCTGAAGCAGCCCAATTTTATCTTCATGCTATGAAAGGCTTCAACGCCCAATTTCTTCAAAGCAAAGGAAAGCGGGTGAGGCCGGCTGCATTTCCCTTTTGGGGGCTGGCCAACCCATGCAACTTAAGTTGAACCATGTTAGAATTCCTGGGATTTAGATTAATGGCCTGCACAGATCAGTCATTCAAGCCAAAGCAGTGAAAGTCTTTTAGGCTACGTCATCCACAGGGGTTCCTCCGAAATGTCACCAAGAGGATTGCCCTAGCCTGACAACAGAAACTCTACAAAAGCCAGGATTCTT